AGTTCCCTGTCTAGAACTTGTAATGCTAATTACTCTTGTCTTTACTTCTCCCTTACATCTCCTAGTCACGATTCAAGAACTTTCTTTTCCCCTTAGAGATAAGAGTTATGTAATTTGGGAGTCTTTTAGATGGACCCACTGAAGGGGTACTCCAACTGCCTCACTCTGCGTCTCTGTTCAGCATGGAAGAAGCCAGAACAGTCTGCGTCCCTATTCCCCATTGGCAATTTGGGTAACCCCTTCAGAGGATGGCATGATAAGAATAGGAGGTAGGAATTGGCTAGGCAGTTAGAGTAAAAAGACCCCAAAGAAAAGTAACCAGTTTCTTGGCTAAAAGTCAAAATGTCCTTGGGCTTGTTAGCAACATACTCTGTTCCAAAGCCCAAAAATGTCAAAAGTATTTGGGAGCTTGTATCTAATCCTTAAAAGATTTTTAGGGTTACCTCTTCAGAGGGGGGAATGTTACAGTACCCAAAAGCCCCATAAAAATAAAAAAATGAAAGAAGGAAAAAAAAAGTGATGGGAGGTGCTGGAAGGGAGGGAGTAGGAATGGATTTGATTAAAACACCTTATATGCATGTATGAAATTCTCAAAGTTTTTGTAAAAGGTTTTGTTTTTTTTTTAAAAAAAAAAAAAAAAAAAAAAAAAGGATCCTAACTAACTCTGAATTATAACACTACAGGGTAGCTGAAAAGTTCCAAGGCACCACTTGGGGAAGAACAAAAGGCTACGAAGTTTTGAGAAGTACTGAGACAGTAGTCAAATAGAACATGGAGGGCAAGAGTCTGTGAAGAACTGAAGGCAGGAGCTGAGACTACCAATAATAAAAGCCCTAGTGGCTAGAGGTCACTGAGTTCCAGAGAGCCATCAAGGGAGAACAGCCAAGGGTCCTGACACCCAGAGGGCAGGAGCTATATAACACTACCTGTTGAGTGCTGGCAAGCTGAGCCTAAAGCCCTAAGTATCTGCTTGAGCACCTGAGCAATAGGCCTCTGGCTCTGAAACCTCGGAACCAGAAGCCTCTCACTCTCAAACTGAGAGCTGTCAAAATGAATTTGGGCCTGGCATGGTGACACAAACCTTTAATCCCAGCAACAAGGAGGCAGAGGCTGGTGGAACTCTATGAGATCAAACCAGCCTGGTCTACATAGACCAGCTGGGGCTACTGGGAGCACCTACCTCAAAAAAAAAAAAAAAAAAAAAAAAAAAAATTGAAGGGGGCCGGGTGTGGTGTGCACTTAATCCCAGCACTCGGGAGGCAGAGGCAGGCGAATCTCTGTGAGCCTGGTTTACATACCGAGTTCCAGGCCAGCTGGGGCTACAGGGAGACCCTGTTTCAAGAAGACCAGAGGTGTGTGTGGGGGGGGGGGGGGGGGGGGATTGAAAGGAGGAAGAGGAGGAGGAGTTGTTGTTGTTTGGAAAGACTGTGAGCTACCAGAACTCAGGGCCACCAACTGCTCATCCTTGCCTATCCAGGATTCCTGGAAGAACAAAAGGACCCCAAGCCAGTCATTTTTAACACATTCAATTATGAAAGAGAGGAATGAAAGGAAATGCTGAAGTCCTATCAAGATAAGCATTTTGAAATTTTGTTTTTAAAGTTACTGAAATAAAACATGTAATAGAGAAATGCATAATTAGGGCAGAAGGATGGCATAATGGGCAAAGTGCTTGCTGTGTAAGCATAAAGACCTGAGTTCAGATCTTCAGCACCCACATTAAAATAAATAAATAAATAAATAAATAAAGCCAGTCAGCAAGATGGTTCAGTGGGTAAAAGCACTTATCATGAAAGCCTGATGATTTGATTTTGATCCCTGGAACCCACAGCAAAAGGAGAGAACCAACCCTTGAAAGTTGTCCTCTGACCCCCCACAGGTGCACAAAGGCAGAAGCATGCCCCCACACATACACACTCAATAATAACAAAAGAAAAATTAAATTTTTTTAAAAAACAGGCTGTGACTCCAGTATTAGAGGTGCGTGCGTGCGTGCGTGCGTGCGTGTGTGTGTGTGTGTGTGTGTGTGTGTGTATGTGACGGAGTGTGTGTGTGTGTGTGTGTGTATGTGACGGAGACAGGTGGATCCCCAGAGCTCATTGGTCAGCCAGTCAGCCAAATCAGCCAGCCCCAGGTTCAGTGACAAGACCCTGCCTCAAAATGTCAAGTGGAGAGTAACAGGAGACACCTGACACAGACCTCCAGCTTCCATGCACATGCACAAACTCATGCACACACATAGAAAAAATGCATAATCAAAAAATGACAGCTTCTCTCCTTCAACCTTCTTGCCAAAGTAACGATCTATGTTTTTATATTTATATAAAGATTTATATATTTAAAGTTTGTTTTTTAAATAAAATACTACACGTGTTACTAAGTGACTCGCTTCTTTCATTTACCAATATAGCCTGTGTTTCTTTCCCAATCAATGAATAGACTACATTCATGTGGTTGAGATACAAACAAAAAACTCATTCAAGCATTAAAAAACAAAATCAGGGCAATAGTAAGGCATGTGCCACCAGGCCTACAGCCCTGAGCTCAATCTCCAGGACCCACATGGTGGAAGGAGAGAATCAACTTCCACAAGTTGTCCTCTGATCTCTACATCTACCTCCTCCACACATACACAAACTTTTTAAATGAACTTTAGACAAAATAAACTTTTTAAATTTGAGAAAAATTAAATCACTGGGCTAGGAAGATATTTAGAACTAAGTTTAGATCCCCAAAACCCACATAAAGGCCAAGTGGAGGAAGAGTGGGCAGAACCAGACAGGCAGATCCACAACCGCCCCAGTTCACTGATCAGACAATCTAGCCAGTCAGAGACCTCCAGGTTCAGTGAGAGAATCTGGCTCAAAAAATAAGAAGAAAACACCTTGTGTGAACCTCTGGCCTCTACCTACATGAGCAAACAAGTGCAACTGCCCACATGTGCACACAAACAAGTACACACATATACCATACACACACACACACACACGTTTAATAAAAAAAAATTTTAATTAAGAACAGCATTGTGATGTACATCTTTAAGTAACTCCAGCACCCAGGAGGATAAGGCAGGATTATGAGTTCAAGACCAGCCTGAGCCACATGGTGAGTTCAAGGTCAGTATGGGCTACTAGAAATTCCACATTTTATTTTAGTCAAATCTCTCAATTCACTATTAAATGGGCAATGCTATACTTTTTTAAAAAGAACTTTTTATGTGTATGAATATTCTGTCTACATGTATGAGTGTACCATGTGCCTGCAATACCCAAGGAGCCCAGAAAAGGGCACTGGATTCCCCTACAACTGGAATTTCAGAAAGCTGTTAGCCGCCATGTGGATGCTGGAAACTGAACTTGAGTCCTCTGCAAGAACAGTCAGTGCTCTTAATCCCTGCACCATCTCTCCAGCCCCTACTACACTTTTTTTTTTAATAGATGAAAAAAGCCAGGCATGAAAGGTTAAGTCATTTAAGTTCATACAGTTAAAAACTTCCAAGATCCTGACCTGACTCAGAAACAATGCTTTTGACTACAATGTGACTACAACCTAGAATCTTGCTTGAATTTGCTGGCTACTACACTATGACTTACAAAACACACAGGCCTTTTACTGAAAGGCAACATTTACCCCATCTCCTTTCAGCATAACTGATTTTCTGTTTTCCTCAAATCCTCAAAGATCAACAATGACATCATTCACAGGCTCCTTAAGATCAAGGAATATAATTCAACCATGCAATGTGAGTGGAGATATACCTAAAAAAAATCTCTTCACTGAAAGCTTTTCTTGACAACCTTTATTCTGCTCACTTTATTCTGTTAGTTCCAAAACACCATCCATTTGCCACAGAACCAAAAGTAAGAATTTAAGCATCCAATTATCAGGGCTAGAGAAATGGTTCAGTGTTAAGAGCCCTGGCTGTTCTTACAAAGGACTTGGGCTCAGTTCCCAGCACCCACGTGGCAGTTAACAACCATCTGTAACTCCAGTTCCAGGGGATCCAATGCCCTCTTTTGGCCTCTGTAGGCATTGCATGACACAGGTGAAAGTACATACAGGCAATACAACACATAAAACAAAAATAAAATTTAAACATCCAGTTATCCTTTGCCCATAAAATTCATAGCAGGCATATACAAGATACCTGTCTGAAATGTTGAATAAATGGTGTTTACACCTTCTAGCCCCAAGACTTTTTTCTTCTCCATGCTCCATAGAAGACTGAAATCCCAAACCCTTTCTTGTTGTATTACTTACAATCTTAGTTTTCAATCACATTAGCTTTCCTATCTCTAGTCCTTTGAGGATTTGTCTTATTGCTTTTGTTTTTGTTTTCTGAGACAGGTCTCCGTGTAGCCCCCACTGGTCTTCATGATTATACATAAGTCAAACTTGTCTCCTGAGCTCCCTGTCTACATTCAACATACCCAAAGTGACCTTTCAAATGTCCTTAAATTTTATCAATAGTAATATTTTTAGTTCACTTTCTTACTACCATTATTCTTGAATTCTGCCAACACTACCTCCTCAATGTCTTTTCTTTCCATTTCCTAGCTCACATCTTACTTATCATGCATCCACTGTAGCCCTCCAAACTGGTTTTATACTCCTCTAACATTCAGCTACACATTACTGACAGATAAACCATAAATCGATGCTCCAATTGAGTTACCAAAGAATCTTCCCTGCCTTCCTTAAAAAGCAAACTTTCCAACTTGGTATACATGAGTCTCCACAACACAGAGAGCACCACCTTCAACTCACTATCTTCCTTTTATAGTACCCATTTTGGCCAAGCAGGAAAATTCTTTAGGTCTGCTCTCACTGATGTCTTAATTCAGACACATTCCTAGTAAGCATTCTTCCTCTTATCTTCATACTCAGTTTTTTAGTATTTTACACACACACCCTCCCAAAGACAAAGAATATTTTTAAAATTATCTTTGTTGGGGCTGGAGAGATGGCTCACCAGGTAACAGCACTAGCTGCTCTTGCAGAGGACCCAGGTTTAGTTTCCAACCCCACATGGCCAATCATCCTAACAGCTATCAGAAACTCCAGTTCCAAGGGCTCCAACGCCCTCTTCTGACCTCTAAGGGCATCACATGCCAGCAAAACATTTATACACACAAAATGGAAATAGTAATTACCTTCGTAGCTCTCCTTCCCGTCTAAGAAATATATAACCACTAAAGACAGCTAAGTCGTGTAGGAATTCTTAAAAATAGACATCATCAGCTGCCATGCTAATTACCTCATGGAACACCAGAAGTAAAGGCCGATTTGGATAAGAGGTTGGGAAACAATGATTTAAAGAGACAGTTACCAAAACTGCTTCTGCAGTTTACACTTCAGTGCTTTACACCACCCTGTGGTTAAGTACCTTAAATTTGAAGATAACTGGATTCCCAGAGCCAACTGGGACACTTAGTCAGGACCCTCTTACCCTTTAAAAAAAAAAAATCTGTTTAAACACCACGTTTCCAGAAAGAGTTACCCTATCCAGGCACTCAATCCCCTGACAAGTCTTCAGGTTTTTCAGCCTAGGCCACTCTTTCTCAGACTGCATCTCCAAAAACTCTGGTCCTGCCTGTACCGGGTCACTTCTGCACCTGCTCCTCGCAGTCACAGCTCAGTTAAAAACTGTCCCTATGACTCCACAACTGATTTGAAAGTAGCTTCGGAAAGGCAATGCATGCTATTCGGGAAAAAGCTGGTCTTCCTCCTGCTGCTGCAACTCCACATCCTCGAGCGCTCAATGAGCCCTCACAGAAGAGCGTCCCTAAGGGTGCAGACCGCGCTCCCTCCTGCCGGGTCCCCCCTTTCCACTACCAAAGGGTACCAAGATGCAGCCGTGGCCCTCCTCACCCAGCAACTCGAGGTTCATCCCTGCGGACACTGGCCGCCTGGTCTCCGCACCGGCAACCTTTCCTTCCCCTCTACCCGATCCCAAGCCCCGCGTCTAAGTCGGGGCGCCGTGAAGAACCAGGCGCGCAAGCTCCGGAGACTTTTGGACTTAGAAGGCCCCGCGGCTTCCGCTGTCCAACCCCGCCTTCCTTGTTCGTTTCATGTGGCTGTCCACATTTATGCCTAACCAGAAAGAAGAATAAACGCTCTTGGAATCAACCAATTATAATCTTTTTGAGGCATAAAAATGTTATCGTCACTTAGGTCTTTGAAAAGTGAAGGAATTTAAGGGTTTTCTCTTCGGGACCATGGAGGTGAGCTAAAAATTTCAGGCATATCGCTAGCCCACTAAAGCTTCAGGCGCGGCGTGCTCTTCGGGGTGTCCGACCACTGCCTACGACTCGGCAGGAAAAGTTCCTGGTGAGTCCTCCAGAGGTCGGAGCGCGCCGAGGTCTGCCCCTGCTGCGCAGTGGGAGCCCTTGACGTCCTCCGGGCGTGTCCTGCTTCGCTCGGTAGTTACCGTGTGTCTGACTCGTTTCGTGAAAATTATTTCATGTTTGTAAAAATGTGTCATCGACATCACAGAAAGGTACGATGGCATTTGTTAGGCCTTTTCCTAAGGTTTTCCTACATGTACATACCGCCGATTAGGACACAGAAAAAGAATTGCCGAGAGAGACGCACTGAGTTCCCTGCAGTTCAATCAGATGTTGATGATATACACAGCAATTAGAGAAGACCAGCTGATGGTAACGGAGGGGAAATTTTTATCCGACTGGAGATGGGGTGGGCTATCACAAAAAGGAAAGAAAGGCAAAGGCTTACTGCACACACAAAAAAGTCAAGCTAGAGTCCCCTATGTTTTATTTTGAGGAGTAAATGAGCTAACATACAAATCACGTAAAATAGGGTACAGCAAATGTTAGCCATTATTTACTAATTACCTTCTAATTATGTTGCTTTGCTCTTGTTTCAGTCACTAGCGCCCGCGCGCGCGCGTACACATACACATACACACACACACACACACACACACACACACACACACACACACACACACACACACACACACGTTTTCTTTTTCTTTCATCCTCTCACACCAGGTTTCACTATGTAGCCGAGGTTCCTGAATGCTGAGATTACAGGTACGTGTTGCCATGCCGGATAAGAGTCTTTTCCTTTTTCTTTCTTTCCTCCCACCTTCCCTCCCTCCTTCCTTCCTTCTTTTCTTTTCTTTTGTTAAGACAGGGTCTCCTTCCTGCAGCCCCAGCTGGCCTGGAACTCACAATGTAGATGAGTCTGGCCTCCACCTCACAGAGTGCTGGAATTAAAGGCATGCACCAGGCACCACACCTGGCAAGAGTTTTGTTGTTGTTTTGGTCTTTTTGAGACAGGGTCTCCCTGTAGCCCCAGCTGTCCTGGAACTCACTATGTAGACCAGGCTGGCCTTGAGCTCACAGAGATCCGCCTGACTCTGCCTCCCAAGTGCTGGGATTAAAGTCGTGCGCCACCACGCCGGCCCACTCTTCACTTTTTAAAAACTATTTTATTATTTTTATTTTATGTCTATGCATGTTATGCCTGCATGTAAGTGCACCTGTGTTGTGCAATGTCTGCGGGGGACAGAAGAGGCTGTTGGATCCCCTGGAACTGGAATTACCGACAGTTGTTAGCTGCCATGTGGGTGCTGGGATTTGAACCCGGGTCTTCTGCAAGAACAGTGTTCTTAACTGCTGAGCCATCTCTCCAGCCCCGTTAATCTGTTACTCTTCACTTTTTAATCGATTTTACACAATATTCTCTGGAAATTTCAGTCACCAACTCTCTCATCCATCTGTGTCTTGGCATGGGCCATTTACAAACCCAATTACCAAACCTTCAATACACTCATCCAATAAAAATTATTGAGCAAGACAGATGTGGTGGCACACACTGTGAATCCCAGTACTCAGGAGGCCCTACATAGCAAGTTCCAGGCCAGCTGTGGCTACAGGGAGACTCTGTCTCAAAAATCCAAAGAAAAATTAATTGAGCAGACCAGGAGAAAGACCTGGATCTGGGTAAAAAATATAGAGCCCAAGTGTCTCTGGGTGGTACCTTGAGCTTGACTCCTTAAAACAATACTTTGTAATTACAGCAAACTACCTGGGAATGGGATGCTTATGATGCAAAGCTGGGGTCTCTGTGGGGCTGTTTTGTCCTTGCACTGCAGGAGATGATGTTCTCTTGATGTACAGAGAATTCAGGAATAAAGGGTGACTGAAGTGAGAGGTCCAGGAACATAATTCATCCTTCCTAGAAAAGCAAGGGACAACTGATTCACAAGGATGTGCTTCCTCCTGATGGCTGGGAGGGAGTGGCTGGGAGGGAGAGATAGATATCAGGACAGAAGAAAAGCCTTACTTCACTGCTCTGGAAAAAGCACCCAGGAGACTCAGGCAGCTTTTTTTTTTTTTT